CCGAAAGATGTTTGAATTTTGTGCTACTCCCGTGTGGAACGTGGTTTTAAAATTCGTAACTACGATAATTGATTTAAATGCCATTAAGTGTACGTGATAATGTGACGTTTCTTCGAACTACTCGATTCTTCAAGATGTCTTGTTTTTACGCGATCCCATCAGCAATAATAGTGAGTAATTACATTATCGCGGTGTTGTAAGACCGATATTCGTGTTATAAAGCGTATGGTCAATTAAGATCGACAAGATCGTCATAGCTGTTATCCCGAGCCGGAGGAACAATCGGGCGCGAAAATATTTCCCGAGATAACGAATCGAAACGAAACACGAGACTTTGACGTCGAGCCTGTTCTACTTCGGACTTTCGAAATTTATATGAGACAAGTCGCCTTCGATCGAAAAGACGGACGATGTTAGATAACAGTCATTACTAGCATGTAATTGCTGATCTTACGATACATCGACTTTCTTTTATTTTGCACGGTTCCTCTTCGTATCGAATCGATCTCCTCGATAATATCGATAAACGTGTATCAACTTTTCTCCAACTTTTATCAAGCGTCGTCGGTACGATTAAACAACACAACGGGGAGCAAAATTTAAGCAACGAAAAACTCCACGTACATTATAACGATAATTAATTTTAATTAACAGAAAATTTAGGAAAACTTATTTCTGCGTTGTTTAATAAATATTCCGTTATTTTGTTGCATTTAATTTACTGGAGATAGGGTTTTGTTCACAACTAAATTTTTCTGTTTTAGTAACAGTTTTCAAAATGTTGCAAATAACGCAACATGTTACATATGTTTGCAACACGAGTTTTTATATGTGAAGGGTTTAAAAAGTGAGCAGTGTTTTAATCGAGAGCCTTGAAGAATAAGAAGGAAATATTGTGAAAATATTTCTAAACAAAGTAGCAAGAATGATAACAATATCAATTATTAGAAAACTGTGCTAATTTTTGCACAAAGATATAAACACTGGTCAGTCGATAATTAAAAATGTCTTGTAAGGTCGTATGAAACAGAAATTAATAAATTTTGATAAAAGTGTTTTAGAAAATATACGAATAAAATGTAAATTATAGATATTTATACTGTTTTGAAAAGGGATATTTTTTTATTTTTAAAAGTTGCATCTCAAAATTGCAATTGTCATTGCTGGTTGTGAGTATTAATAAATACTCTGGGGGCATAAAGGGTGAAATTTCAACTTATCCAATGAAACAATTCACTCAAAGGGTTAAGGGGTAAGACCACCGTAAAAACCGGAAATAAAGCGTTTTCTTGCGATTTTTTTCGTTGGATGGAAAAGTAGAAGGATAATAATATTCAAGGATGTTATTAACCATGTCGTGAAGTGTTTAAAAATAAAATATTTATTCAAAAATAGCGCAAAATGACGTCGCTGGAGCCATTCTCGCGAGGCGTAAGATGCAACTGACGTAAATTTGTATCTGGAAAAAAACAAAAAATTGTCTCCCAATCTACATGAGTATAGCTAAAGAAATACGTAGGGAATTTTTGAAACGTTAATTTTTGTGTGATTGGCTAGTATTTGAAGTCAAAAATTCAATTTTGTACAAAAAATGGGGCAATAATTTGCCAATAAATAATGTTAAAATTAACTTATCGAAGACCCTAAGTGTTTCTCTAGCTATACTCGTGTAGATTGAGAGAAAATTGTTTGTTTTTTTCCAGATTTGTGTCCAAATTCAACGCGTCTCCGCGAGAATGGCTCCAGCATTGTTATCTTGCACAATTTTTGAATAAATATATTTTTTTCAACGCTTAACGACATGGTTAATAGCCTTTTACTTTTCCATGCACCAAGCGGGGAAAACTGATGAATTTTTACCCGTACAATGGCGCGCTTTTTAACGACGAATCGACGCGGCGCGGCGTTGAGGGGGGAAGAGAGTAGAATCGGTGGTATTGGCTCTCCCAGTCGGTGTTCGTTCGTTTAATCTCGGCACGCTGTTAATCGAATAAAAATTAAAGGCGTCGATATCATTGGTGCGTATGCATCGGTGCCGGGTGAAACACGGTCCCGAGCGTAGATCGAGAGCTGAAAGAGAGCGTAGCCCAGGCTGTGGGCGCGGCGGATATCCCGCTGTGTTTCACCAACATGGCCGACCTCTCGTATGCACACCCACGCTGTCTCTCTTTCGCGCCGCGTCCTCCATTTCTTTTCTCGTTCCTTCCAGCCATCAAATTACACGCTCGGTGAAGTAATTTTCAAAGGCGCGTCCGTGATCGAGCGTGATGCAGAAACATATCCGTTACCCTTGGGTTCCGATGCGCCGTGTTAAAATTTGCGATCACCGATAACGATGCTCAAAGATTAATGACCGCGTGTCAACCGACTCTCTCTGTCGTTATCCTATATATATATATACGCGTACCGGCGAAACGATTGTTTCTATCGATCCCCCGAGAAATTACGAGGGCGCGCAGTCTGTGTCCAGCGATGGTCGAAAGTCAAGATACTGTGAAGCCTATGTTTCATAAATTCATATATCCCAAAATGTTAATGAAGGAACCTAGATTTCAACGCTATCCAGAATTTACCAATTTATTGTTGATAGTGATGCCAGAAACTTGTTGCAATTTTGCAGTTTTTAATTCGATTTTTGCAAGTTATGTTATACCTTGCAAACTGCTAAGCAATCATTTTAAAATGTTAACAATTGGTCTCAATTTTTTATGTTAGATGTTTATCACCTTTGAATTGAGTTTAAAAAAAAATATCTCGATGATTTTTTGTATATTAAATTAGGGCACATTAAACTTTAATTTAATGGCAATTTCATTATTCATATTCATTATTGCAAGTACTCGAATCAGAATCGGAATTAATCTAATGAAAAATCTTCTCTTATTTATTTACAAGAAATTGTTTATCTATTTTATATCTTAATTAAAAAGAAATAAATTTTTGAACAAACACGTTTGGCCCTTATGGTACTTGCAGATTTAAATGAACGATGCCTTCTGCAAACACAATTACTCTCTTTTCCACTTTACATACCATTAATTCAAGAAATAAAACAGTTAGTTTATCAGTTAGTTAGTTTGTCAGTTACTTTGTCAGTTAGTTAGCTAGTTTGCAGTTAGTTAGTTAGTTATTTAGTTAGTTAGTTTGTCAGTTAGTTTGTTAGTTAGTTAGTTTGCAGTTAGTTAGCTAGTTTGTCAGCTAGTTAGTTAGTTTGTCAGTTAGTTAGTTAGTTTACAGTTAGTTAGTTAGTTAGTTAATTAGTTTGTCGGCTATTTAGTCAGTTTGTCAGTTTGTAAGTTCTGTAATGAGTTTAACTTATCTCATTGACACGTTTCGGCAAAATTGAATTTTTCATACTAATCTAAAGTCACCAATGCACTCTCTTCCTTCTGAAAAGTAAGATTCTTGCATTGTTTTCCCGCAAACACCGTAATTACTGCGAATGGACGTTACGAAACACCATAATTTCCCAGCAAAGAGCTACAAATCCACCAGTCGATCGCGAAATCTGTCGAATTACGCTTATCGCGTCGATCGTGCGCTTCGTGCAACCTCGCGACGACACCGTAGTTTAAATTAGCGAAGAAAATCTGTAGATTAGTTAACGAGCTTGAATACGAACTTGGCGAAATTGGCTCAATTAAAAGCTACGGGGCCAGCTGCCCCGACGATTATGCCCCGTCATGTGATTGATCCCTTTTCCCAACTTCTTTCTTCTCCTTTCGATCTCCTCTATTTAGAGATGCATCGATACTTGGCCATCATTAATCATGCACTTTTGTACACACTCGTCGATGAAACTCCCTACGAGGGACATCTCGTGCCGCAACAAAAATAAATCTCCCGACATTTTGTTCCGTACCATTTATATTACGGATCTCGAAATCGTTCGGGAGTCGAAGTATTTTTTTTTTATCAACGATCCACGATTTTCGTGCGGTAGCTTTAAAATAATAAACACATTCGTTTCAACTGTTCGAATTATTAATCGTCTGCCATTTTTGGCGAGTTCGATACTCGATCCTCGTTTCGAGAACGTTTTTAATACGATAAACGCGTAGATTTATTTCGTACTCATTTTTCTGCATATGCATTATTCAAATTCCTTCAAACATGGTCTCCTTTGATATCGTTTTCGTTATGAAAGCTTCAGATACGATTTAAATAGTTCCATGACAGTAAATTATGAAATATAACAATTTTTCTACGTCGAAACAGATTCAGAAATTAGTGGGGATGAGTTTTCGACTTATAACGAGGGAGAAAATGCGATCTTATAGCGAGGGGCTACTGTACAGCGAACGATATTCAAATCACCGTCGATCTAAGAATAAAAACTAGCAACGAAAATTTGCAATTTTCAATGCAACGAAATAAATAAGTTCCATAACTTTCAATTATAGATTATGGATAGTATTTTCGTTCGAAATGTGATAAACAATTATATTCGTATTTTAAGAAAGAACAGAAAATTTTTGATGCAACAGCAAATTTGTATTTTTCGTTTAAGTTGACTATTCTAGTTCCTATCACGATTCAAATTACAAAAATGAATATTAAATTAAAGTTCAATATTTAATAAATAAACCTATGTAAATGTAATATTCTTGGCTCCATTATTTTATTAGTTTTACTCTCATAAAAACTTTAAAATGTATTTTATTTTAACACACGTACACTTTAGTTCACTGTACTCAAATTAAATAAATCATGCTTTATATTTTTCAAACTGGAACCATATAACTTTTTCTGTATACGCAAATACACGAGAAAAGATTTTAATTGCAAAGAATTTAAATTATTGTTTAAAGTTTGTTGATCAGTGTTATTAGTACCAAAAATAATAGACAAAGGTCATCGATCAAGTTTAACAAAATGGTGTTCGGAGGCAAAAATCGATCCTTTCGTTTCTCGACATCTCAAAGACGCTAAGGAGAATTTAATCAACGCGAAGACACACGTTGAGAAAGAAATTTCTCACAGAGCTTTGTGTGTTTCAGGATATGGATCTGATCGAGGTGCTATGGAAACAAGATGTGGATCTCGGATTCACGTTGGTCGAGCCAACAACCACGGAGAAAAAACCGTACACGTCAGACAAGGGAAACGAGGACGACATCGAGAAACTAAAAACTCTAGAAGCCATCAACGCGACCAATGAGAAGGTTTGTAAAATTGTTACTACGCCGCTATCACCCTTCCGGTCTTTTTCTGATCGAACGATCCAACGCTGCAATTTAGATCGTAAAGAGATTTTGCGCGATTACGACACAGATTATAATTAGCAATTAATGACGTATTGTTTATCGAGTCTCGGTTTGCCTTCTGCTTTCGCGTATCCTTCTCACGAATCTTTTGAAATTAGAAATGGCAGAATCCTGTTTTTGTGGGAAAGATTGATCAAAATATCGTAAATTGACTAAAATTTTGTGTAATAAGTTTCTTTATAAAAATGTTCGATCCTGCCAAGTTTCTATATAATTTAAATTGGGGGTAATTTAAATATTTCAACCCCAGTATAACACAAATAATAATTACTAAGAGGGTTTTCCAAGAAGCAAAAGATTCCAACGATGATAAAACTATTATTTTGATTTGGTAATTACAGTGGATATATTTATCGAAACTGTTAAAATAAAATCATGTTGCATTGATTTCATATTGATGTCCATTTCTATTCTTTTAATTTATCCAGTTGTGAACGGAATCTTTCGCTATTAATTGTCTGGTAATTTGGTAAAAGTTTATCAAGTATTAAAGTAGGATTTATTATAGAATCCAACAGTTTGAAGAAAGGAAATGGTTTGTTCGTTTGAATATTCGGTTAGATACAGTTATGGGAAGCACGTGGTCAGTTTCGATAGATCAGTATCGATTCGTGAAGTTGACAGTGAGACATTAAACAAATGTGACGTAACTCGTTTGACTAACCGAAGAATTCGGCACTTGGGGTGGCAATCTCTTTGCAATCTCCGAGCTGTAGACCGACCATTTCTGCTCGTATAAAAATTGCACGAGCCAGTTAATAACGCAGCCACCCGGTTTACATATTCAAATTTTCTATTCACAATTAATCAAGTGTATAATTTCCTTCGCTATCTGCAATCGGTAGCGACAAGACCGCTTCCGTGCAATTCGAAAGTCCTGATAAGTTTTAAATCTCGAATTTTTATGGGGCTCGGATCTTTGAAATTCCAATGCTTTGAAATTTTCGATAAATGAAAAGTTTCAAGAGATTCGATTTTCACCACTATTATCGATATGAAGTATCAGAGTGCTTATCTTTCTATTTATCAGGCTTTTATCCCACTTTTGTGAAATTCCTACGATAGTCAGATAACAAACTTCCTCCATTTCGTTCAGTAACACGTGTCTTTTCACCACTATTTTTAAAAGATAAAAATCTTTTCAGATAGTGTTCTGTAAATATAGAATATAGAGAATAGAACTCGTTTCCCTTTTAATGTCAAATTCAAGTATATCCTATTATGGGGAAAAAAATTATTTTCAATTATATTTCTCAGTTTTTAAATCACGAAATGCTCGACTAGGCTTCAATTTTCTATTAGACTACGTTCTTTACCGAATAAAATGGAGTCTGTCCCACACTACTGATTCTATACTTCGATATTTTAACTACATGCACGGAAAAATTAATTTTAGTAACATAATGCTCGTTTGGAAGCGTCGATATGCGAAACTAAATATAAATAAGAGCCTAAACTTCTTAAAAAGAATCAAGTTTGAGTCTGAACGTTTCCTATGACTCATTCATTTCGAAAAGCATAGTTTCCATCCAGGAATAGTGTTCCCCAGAAAAGACACAGCGATTTGTTCGACGAAAAAATTGGCGCGTTGTTCGAAATCTTATCGAGCCTCGCCATTGCGGATTTAAGCGTGGTAATTGGTCACACAAAGATAAGTCAAAGGTATAATCCCACGGAACTCACAGAAGCCATGTTCAGTAGACATCAGAGAGATTAAGTTAGAAGGGAACCATCCTACCAGATACGATCTTGGTCGATGCATCAAACCTCAAACTATCGCCTTTGGATCTTGTCTTTCGCCTAATTCTTTGTACGTGGGAAGAATCTACGATTCCTATCGCATACTTTCACAGTAGTCTTTCTCTTTTACCCTCTATTGCGTCCAGCCTATCGTTTACACCCTGTAATGTTTACGAAATTGTACAAAAATCAATGTCAATTTATATCTCATTACCAGTGTCTACCAAACATCATATTGTATACCTAATCGTTTCCAAAAGCCAAACATAATTTGGACTACAGGGGTCGTAAGATTCTCTACTTGCCTATAGATTATAAATTATTTAATTAGGAAAGAATAATTTTTAGTAATATCTAACAGTATATCAACAATCATATTCCAAGAAATGTATATTATTATTTCCTCGAGGAATTAAAATTGCATCCGTGCTCGAAACGACCGATTTCGTTCATTTTCTATTCAACGATGAAGCTTTTTTAACGCAACCCTAACCTAACCCAGACCTATAAATTATTTCATTAGGAAAGAATAATTTTTAGTAACGTCTAACAGAATATTAACAATTATGTTCCAAGAAATGTATATTATTATTTCCTCGATGAACTAAAATGAAACGACCGATTTCGTTCACTTTCTATTCGTCGATGAACCCTTTTTAACGTAACCCTAACCTAACCCAGACCTATAAATTATTTAATTAGGAAGGAATAATTTTTAGTAACGTCTAACAGAATATCGACAATTATATTCCAAGAAATGTATATTATTATTTCCTCGAGGAATTAAAATGGCATCCGTGCTCGAAACGACCGATTTCGTTCACTTTCTATTCGACGATGAAGCTTTTTTAACGTAACCCTAACTTAACCCAGATCTCCAAATTATTTAATTAGGAAGGAATAATTTTTAGTAACGTCTAACAGAATATCGACAATTATATTCCAAGAAATGTATATTATTATTTCCTCGATGAACTAAAATGAAACGACCGATTTCGTTCACTTTCTATTCGTCGATGAAGCTTTTTTTAACGTCGATTTCCTTCGCGTTTCGGTCGACAGGCACGAAAAGCATAAAGTAACCGGGAGATCCGAGCCTACGAGAGTTCATCCGTGCTATGGTCACCGACAATGACGTTGCATCGACGTTCTGGGCGGGTAGCCCATCAGACTTCTTGACGTTCTTTCTCTTCTTTTCTCTCCCGACCTCCCTTTCCACGTTTCTCTCTTCTTCTCACGGCCTTCGGTAGTCAGCGTTCCCTCTTCCTTTTCCTGCATCACTATTTGCTTGCTCCGTCTTCTCGAGTTCTGCCTCTTCGAGGATCGCATTGTTCCAGCGGGTTCCACCTTTGTGAGGGCACATCGCCGCCTTCGAAGGTTCAATAATACAGGGAAGATCCTCGATCCCGATCGAATGCGGGGAGATCGATCCACAGTATGGCTCGCGAACAGACGAGAACAAAGGGAAGTCCAGTCACCTGTCCTGTCGTTCTTCAACTTCTTCCTCCGCGTATCGACGACCATTGTCTCGGTGCGCGATCTTGAAATTGTTTCACTCGGGAGCCGTTCGTCGTACCAGAATACGGTTACATCATCCCATAATTTCACTATTTCTAAAAGTAGCCTTTCACGAAACAGTAAAAAAGATTCACCAAATTTCCTTCTAGCTGGAAAGTTTCAAAATTCAAATATTTTACATTCGCCCGTAAATTGACTTCAACGAAACGCGAGCCAAAATTTACCCAACTCTGATTATCAACCCTGTAGACTGTGGGAATGTTGTAACTGGAATATCAAGTATGTTGCAAGTGTATTCGAGCCTCCGCGAGATACAATAGCAAACAAAAGTTCAAGACTATCTTTCTGATACGTAATCGCGCAATATTATACGTACACACACTCGTAAGTACTCCGTTTATGGTCGACTTCAGAACTTTCGAAACATAAACAGTACTTGAGATTATTACGAAACTTTTGATAATCTCTCTGTTGCGTGTATTGGTTTAAGAACGTTTAAACATAGAGGTGCTTCAAACAAACGGTGATAAGTAGATTGCGGATCTCTATTGCAAGTTCATGTTTTTATTAATAGAATTAGTGAAATGGGAGCTTTGCAGGGGGTTGTATCAACCCCTAGATATAATAATTAGTATCTTGTTTTGAGTGCATTCTGAAAATTGAGTAACAACACACAAATTTAAATATCTTAAGTAAAGCTAGCAATCTGCATCCAGAATATAGATTGTTATGTCACTATAATAGAAAGCAGATAAATTTTTTCTAAACGTGATAGTAATCTTATTGTTAATATCGTAGAGAATATTCGTTGCAATAAATTATACTGAAATCATTTACTTTTAAGCAAAGAACTCATAGTAGCGTTGACCTCTTCAACTATACTAATGCAAGAGTGCACGTTTAGTTTTTAAATTATCTCACACATTGCATCAAGTTGTAAATAATTCGTATTTTTCAATGACGTAATGCGACAAACCTCGTTAAAATAATTTTGTCAGTCTTAATTGTCCTACGATTTTTTGGTGGAAATGAAATTTTTGTTTAAAAAATGGCCGGAATAAAAGTGTTCGCGAAACCGTCGAAACGGGGGTAGCGTTCGTTCGCTCCGCGAGATGCAATCGCGAGGAATTGGTGAAATGATAGATGTATAGCAATCTCTCTGCACGAGGGGCGCCATTGATGGACCAAGTTCGATGGAAGAGGTTTAGGGTGAGGGAGAAGAAAGCCGGTTGGCCGGCGCAATGCGGAGCGAGCGGAGCGAGAGAGGGACAAAAAGAGAGAAAGAGAGAGACGAAACTGAATAAAAAGGGAGGGGGGGGGGTGAGGCTAGAGCCAGAGAGATTGGAGCAGCATGGCAGAGTGATTTCGAGGGACGTATTGATGGTCCTGAAAATTGAAAACGCGCCCAGCAAACCAAAGTAGGTTTGGCCTCCGTCTCTCCTCTCTGATTATTTCTCTTGGATGAAATTTCGGGGACAAAATGGCGGCCCGACACGTCACACCGTGTCTCGAAATTGCCTCGATCGTTCGATTTCCGGGTCTCGGTTCTGGTATCCCTCGAGAGATTATTCTACTGTAAACAATTCTGCTTGTTTCAAATTTTTCTGAACAATTAAAAAAAAAAAGATGGAATAGTAAATGTGTTGTTACGAAAGTGAGGTCAGGAATTCAAAAATATTGAGATTTTCATTCGGTATTATCGATAAATCATTTTCATTATTATCTATAGCATCTTTATGTTTACTTTGATACAGTATCAGTACTTTTAAAGATACTTCAGTATTTTATACTTGCTGCCTCTACTACTCAAAAATAAAAAGGTGCCAAATAAATTACAAAATGTAACAGAACTAATTGCATCGTTGCAAATAGATTTACCGTCTGAAAAAAGGGTGGATGTTATTTGTGTAAGAAAACACAAAATTCTAAGCAATTTTACCGCCAAGTATATTATTATTTTGTAATTAAACGATATCGAATTCTATGTTTCCTTTTACAATTCTCTGATACTTTAATAATTTTTTAAAGACCGTGAGCCTGTAGTTAAAACGAAGAACGCACGAGGGGTCAATTGGGAAACAGAGGCGCGTGAAATACGCGTGAATTGTTAGCGGCGCAGAACCGCGGTACACTTAATTCCATTTCGTAGAATTTGTTCGATCGAGGCGCGGAGAGGATTGATCGAACTTTGTATTCGTAACCCCATGTCTTCGGATAACGTACCACTCAACGACGATACATCACGCAGAATGAAAAAGAGACTGAAGCAACGGGTAGAGGGGGATGAAAAGCAGTAGGTGGAACGGGGGGAAGAGAGAGAAAGACGCTACTGGCTGGATAGCCGCTATCAGAGAGTCGCTATGATTAATGATCGACTACAATGCTGTTTTCATTAAACTCATTTCACTGCAGCTCGTATATAACACCGACATGGCCGACCTATGGCCCCGGGCACATGAGCGCCCTTTAGTCCTTTTTCACGTTGCTGTTAGGACCGTTTGATTATGACGTTTCTATGATCGTCGACCTTGACGGTCCTGAATGCCGTCCAATTGAATTCGATCATTGTTGCAACCGTCGTTCTCGATTCTTTGATTATCCATGAGAAGGCGTCTTGATTCGGATCACGATATCCGAATTCGAAAATGGCTTCATTTGAGGCCAAATATTCACCTTCACGCGGAACTAGTCGCTTCTTTCCACAGCTAATTACAGATACGTACGACACAGTAGTTAGGTAAAATTAACAAAAGTATACTATTTTTTGTATAATTAAAAGTAACGTGTTTAGTAAAACAATTAATAGTATATTGCACGTTGATATTACAGAGTATTTTCTTTTTCGTTACTGAACACTTTTTGGGAAAATATCATTTCCTGAGGTTTCTTTTTGATCTCGTCTGGATGTATTAACAACATCTTTTTCTTTACGTTTTTCTACAAGACTCCTATAAATTTCATTTGTGGAGCTTCTATTCACAAATTTTCGTTTGCAGAAGGATGCAAAAGAGTTCGAAGCGCAAGAAGATGACCCTTGGGCAGGCCTTCCATACACCGTGGATCTCGAAACTGGTAAGTGTAGATCATTTTTCTCAATCTTATAACAAATTTCAGACGGATTATTTAAAGTCTGGCAAAACCACGTGTACTATTTGTACCATCTAAACGCGATAGAATTTATGGACAGATCCGCGATTTTACAATCTCCATACAAAATTTAACCCCTTGTTGTACAATGACGAATTTGACTCGTCATTAAGTCTTATATATTAAGATAATTAAGGTATTCGTAAAACAAATCTATTCTTTTCGTGGTCATTCCTTTTACGAACAAATTTAAACAAAATTAAATAGTATGCGTTTGAAAAATCAAGGGATTAAATACCTACTTGTGCTATACGTATCAAGATATCCAACGAATTAAAGCGTAAACAAGAGAGATAGTCCCTATAGTTCCCAAATTTAATAGAAACTTATACGCGACAAATTACGTCCAAACCATTCAGTGGTAATGTAAATTCCTCGAAAAAGAAATGGAAAAGTCCTTTATCGTTTCGCGATCGGAGGCTTTGGTTTCGAGATACGAGCAGCCAAAGTTCTACCGCGCGATTCGTGGCGCGCGCCATTTGTATCCCCAGTCAGCTGATCGCGCGCCTGCGCGGACGTGTTTCCGCGCGAAAACTTCGACCGTTCGTATCTCGACAACGAAGCCTCGGATCGCAAAACGGTAAAGGACTTTTCGACTTGTTTTTGCGCGTTTTAGTTCGTTTCGTTGAAAGTAGAGCCCGAGACCGAGTGAAACGGAGCGAAAGCAGCGTGTTTCGTTGCCGGGCGACGAAAAATTGTGAAAAATCGTATGGAACGAGGCGGATAAAATGAAGGGCGATCCCTGGTGGTAAAAGTATTGCGTTTACCTAGTCACCAAGGTGCAGTTTATTCGAGTAGATATGTAGTTACGCGGGCACGCATTTTCAGAACCAGATTCCAGTTCCATAATGACTCGGAAAGAAGTCGGGGAGTGGCTTGAGAAACGCCCTCGCTACCTTCTTCCCTCCCTTACCATCCGCGCCCGCCGCCGCGCCGACCCGTCCCGTCCTGCCAGCCCTTCACGTTTGGTTCCCCCTCCTCTCTGCATTTAATTACTTTGCGTCGGTCGCGTCGCGCCGGATCGAGAGTGCGCCTAACCCTCCGCCGTGATCCACTCTACGTCGGCTTTCGTATCGACGCTTGACGAAGGTTCGTTCGGTAAAACCTTTTTAAAATGTCGGCATATCCGCGAACCTCTCGTTTCCCCCCTCTCCTACCCCTCTCTCTCTCTTTTTTTTTATTGCTTAGACGAAGCGGAAGAATCTGTCCTCGCCTTGTCTCTCGAACAAGAACGACAAAGCGACGCTCCACGATCGATTTCACGAATCCTGGCGGGCAGAACTGTAAAAATGTATACTCGCGGGCCCGTAAACATTATTTACCAACAATTTACGTTGATCTGTTATACTCCCTTCGATTGTTTCGTGAACTAATTTTGTCTCTCTGATTCTCGAGTCGAAGTTGATAATGTTTTTATTCGCATCAGATTATACTCAAAAAATGGAACAAATAGGAAAAGGTAAGTCCTCGATTTCTGCGTAATATTTTTTACAACCAAAGAAAAATTATTGCTAGTTAATAAAAAGTAAAATTGTGAAACTTGTCTGACCGGATGTGGAGGGGACTTTTTTTCCGATAATTTGAAAGTACATTTATTTGACAAGACCGGTGCTAAATAATATGTCTTGACCATTTTTGCTCAGTCATTTATGCCATTTTTAGTGAAAACGTGGACTATGTCGCGGAGATTGATATACAAATCTTGGCGTTCAACGAGTGCAAACCCTACATTCAAAGTAGAGAAACAAACTCAATTTTATTATTATTTAATATTGATATTTGTAAAGAGTTCTTGCAAAAGGATGTAAGAAAAGTTGCAGAGACGAAATACTTGCTTAAAGAATAAAATCATAAAGGTGATTTAAACCTAGAATAATTCAATACGTGCTTCATTTTAAAGTTTATAACAATTCTTTTTAACGTGTTTTTAACGTTGCTTAGATCTGCTGTCAGTGTATGAAAGTTTTCAAAAAACGTCAGCTCTCTCGCGTTCAGTGTTTCCAGTTTGAAATTTGAGAAACGAAACAACTCTGTTTCCGCTCGATTCTTGAAATCACAAACCACGTCGGTTCAAAAATAACCAGCAAAAATATCGCAGACTCATTATTTCGGTTTAGCGTTCCCGTCGAAATAGATTATTTTGCTGTTTGTATGCCAACGAAACGTTGGCTGGCAATTACTGGGATTTGCCATAATTTACAGTTTGCTAATCCGTTCCGCTGCATCGAGTAGCTAGGCGTAGTAAATTAATTTGATTCTGCAATAATAAGTCCGTTTTATAAAGTACCGACCAGCTAACAAGAGCACCGGGGAGCTCATTACGTTCCTATCTCGTCGATCGATCGAGTCTACTCGACGTACGCCATTGTGTGATTAATGAATCGCTCGACAAAAGAAAGCACAATTTCCTTGAACATTGCAATTTTTTAAGATTTACCAGGAAAACATGGCGAATAACATCGAACAAACTCTCGAGAATTTCAGAGTTGGAAATATGTCGTTGCCCTTTGAAGTTTTGTACAAACTTATCTCAGCTCGAAGATCTCAAACACGTATTATTTCGTACTGAACAATTGGTAAAAACTGATTCTGGAGAAAATGATCAGAATTACGACCACGAAAATATGGTAAATATGATGCATATTATATGCTTGTAGTGTACGGTATAATTGAAGACCCCATTAAACATTTTAATCGAATGAAATTCAATTTTCTATCAAGTCGAGGTCCAATGACAAAGAAAGAAAATATAAAAAGGTTTTTAGAACCATTAACTGTGTTTTTTTTTAGAATTATTACTATTGTTACTTCTATCCATCTTCCAAGTTGCTATGTTAATCACAAATAATCGTTTTTCCAAATCAGTAAACCAGAATTATTGTTTCAAAGGAGTAACTCTAACAATCTTTCAGAACGATGTATTTTCAATTTACAATCGGAGTTTCTGAGAAACGTCTAAAATCAGTATTTTCACGGCTTGTAAAGACGAGTAATTATCGATGGTACTTTTCACTGGGATTAAAATTGAATTCTAAAAATAAATATCCGCGTCAAATATGAAACTTTCGCCTCGTGTTTCGCAGATTCCGTTCGACAGTGAATGCTTTAAAGAAGTTTCGAGAAAAGGTGTTGTCGTAGTTCTGAGGAAATTTCATTCGAAAGGGCGAACTTACGATTACATGTAAATTTATTCGCAACACGTGATCCTAATACTATTACAAATCGTTTCCTGCGGTTACATGGACGTGGCTGGAAGTGAATCGCGATCTTCACGCACGGGACTTGTGCTTTCATGAAAAGGAACGAGGAGAAAAGGAGAGTAAAAAGATACCGTATGTTACAGTCGACGTACAAGGCGCTTGTACCAATTTGACGAAGCATGATGGATTACATGGTGGATCTTATAAAAAGTTGCATCCATGGAATAAATTATCATAGCATTGTTTCGCCGCGAATACTTTGGCCGCGCCTATTCGACGCGCGCTTTCTTCACGGTATACGTATAAGACGGGTTCAGAGGTCGATATTAATATCGAGACGAATGAAATTATTCTAAATTGATCTCAGGAAAATGACACTCTCAACAGAAGCACACGATACAATCTGTATTATTATATAACATACAAATGGACTTAATTGGTACTGGAAATAAAAGAAACAAATGTGATTTATGCGAAATTTTCACTGGAAATGTTCGAGTAAACTAATTTTTATATTAGTCAAAACTATCGATCCCTCCATCATTATCATATCCTGCATCGAGGTTCATTATTTCATTTTTTTATTTGTAAAGACGAATTTAAGGTAATAGTTCAAAATTGAAACGAATGAAATTATTCTGAATTGATCTCAGAGAAATAACACTGCTGATAAAAATCCAGGATTCAATTTTTATTATAGATAACATACAAATGGACTAAATTGGTACTGGAAATGAAAGAAACGTATCGTTGTCTTTTTGAAGGAAGCAAATTGAAAATTGTAATTCTCAAGTTAAAATGTTAAAGAAAATAAATTTGAACAAGGTTCGTGAATGTTATAAATATTAAGATAAGTTTTAAGTTATGTTTCGAATTGTCTGAAATGAAACTTTTGGTCTCGTAAATAATTTCATACGCAAAACTGAAATTTATGAAGAAGAACAAATGAGGAGAAGATACAAAGAAAAACAAAGTAAGAAAATATTTAGTATTAAATAAAAAATACAAAATATTTAGTATTAAATAAAGCTTAAACATGTAATTGCAATGGTCTGTATTGATTAGATTTCATTGATATCCTCTTTCATCATCTGTCCACTTACTTTTGTCCCAGACTGTGTAATATTTTGGTTTTAGTTTTACTGCTGATGCGTGTACGGGAAAATGCGGGACACCCTGTATGCACGCGATAGAAGGTAAAAAGGTTCGGGTTTGTCTATTGGGAATAAATGAAGGGAATGCGAGTCCCTCGATTGGTGGACCTATGGGAAGATCGAATCGGATGGGGGATAGCGGATTCGATAATGGCGGGGAGCCAAGATACGAAACGCATGCGTGAGTGTATAAAATGGAACATCTGCCACGTGGACGGGCGGTACATAGTGCGCAAGTACCCGATGCGTGGACGACAGAAATCGTAAAGGGGAAGATCATGAAAGTATGGCCGCATCCGCCATACGTGCGCATAGATACTTAGCCACGCACGCGTACTTTCCACACAGTTTTCACCCTACTTTCCTATCAAACTATACGATCGCATACTTATTCGACGATGGTTAAAAAACTAGGTCACTCTTCCATAGCATCCAACGAATTTATGAAAATTAATATTCATCAGATTAAATAGAAAACTCGAGCTAATGTTGAATTCGAAGATCGTGAGAAAAGGTTCCTCGATATGGACAAGTTATCATTTTTTGATAAATGTTTCTACCTTGGATGAAG